CAGAAAAAGTAGTAAGGGTATATATAACTTTTTATTCTGGTTAGATTAACCAGAATTCTGGTTATTTTAACCAGACTTTTTTTTCAGTGTAGTTCTCTTTTCCAGGCATATTTTTGCTGTACGAGAGTATTTAACACTTCCTTGTGCAGATCCATATTATGAAAAAAATCAAAGAATTTTCAAGGATTCTAATATAAATGAAATGAACGAAGAACCGCGTATAAATGTTGTCTCTTCAAAAAATGTGGGGAAAAAGAAAGTTCTAACTCAAGGCCAGAAATTGAAATTCGGTAAAATAGAATTACTCGAAATTAACACACTTCTCTCAGAATTATCAACGCCAAACTTTTATGCCACAATGAAATTTTTTGCAGAGGTAAGAAAAAATATTTTATTAATAAAAAAAAATATTTAAAAACTAACGTTACTTAAAAAATTAACTTTCATGTATAGGTCAAAAGAAGGCTCTTATTAAAACAACCGCTGCATCTAACTCCTGTGTTAGAAAATGACATTTCTACCCAAGAGCCATTCGCAGAAAATGAAAAAGAAGCTTCTACAGACAAAGACGAAGACGTTTCTGCGGAAGTGGCGGAAGAAGATGAAATTGAGGGAGAAAACGTTTTTTCGGAAATAAGAAACAACTTTCCAGAAGAAAACGTCTTTCCAAAAGAACTCTACTTTCAGGAAGAAAACGCTTCTTCAAAAGAAAACTACTTTACGGAAGAAAACGCTTCTTCAAAAGAATATTACTTTCCTGAAGTAGCATCAGAAATACAAGTAATCTTCGATGGAAACTGTAATGTGATCGAAGAAGAAGAAAATGTGTTAAAATTAATTCCGTTAGCGCAGGACGAACCAACACAAGATAATATGCATATTATCAAAGAAATTTTAATGCCTCCAAAGCAAAACATGCGTGGAAGACCGAAACATTCATTGACAACAACACCCATGGGTCTTCCAAGTAAAACGTCAAAATCAAAAGAAAAAAAAGGGAAAGCAACCCCTTTCATTAAAAAAACTTTAGACTTTAAGGTACAACAGATGTTAAAATTTTTCGTCGATGACTCCTTAGTAGAGAAATCTTTAAGAGGTCATAAAATTCAAGAATCTGAAATAGAAATGAAACCAGAGTTGATAAGTGGAGCAATTACAGATGAGGACATAAATTTGGAAATAATTAAAAGTTATTTAAGTGATGAAGCATGGCTCGCAGTGGAGCAATTAAAAGATATTAAAAAAACCAATAATAAGTGGAATTATTGTCATAAATGCCAAAAAGATCTCAGTTTGTACACTGAAAAAAAAGTCTGGTTAAAATAACCAGAATTCTGGTTAATCTAACCAGAATAAAAAGTTATATATACCCTTACTACTTTTTCTGGTTAAAAGTACTAGAAAATTTGGTTAAAAAATTCTGGTTAATTTTACCAGAATTTCAAGTTAATCTTACTAGAATTTCAAGTTAATCTTACTAGAATTTTTCTAGTTAAAAATTTTTGGTAAAAAAATTTCTGGTTTATCTTACCAGAAATTCTAGTTAATCAGAGAATTAATTAAATTTATTATTATTATATTATATTATAAAATATTATAAAATATGAATTAAAAAAATTTGTATTATGTACATATAAATGCAATCAAACAATAACACCTTTACACTACAATTCTCTTAATAATGTTTATTTAAATATGATTATTCAGAATTAAAATTCTGATAAAACGTGTCGAGCACGTTTTCAACATAACCTTCAAACTATTTTCTACACGAGTTTGCCGTTCGTCAACAATTTTTTCACTTATATTATAAAATTAATTATATAACCAACCTTTAAACAGATCTTTTAATTCTCCCAAACCCCAATTTTCCAGAGCTTGGTTAACTTTTTCATCCATTCTTGCGATCCGCACGATAAACTATTCGAAAAAGAACAACAGACGCTATGCAGTGTCCGCGAACGCGCGTTTTTAACCAGAATTATTTTAACCAGAATAATTTAACCATACTTATTTAACTAGAACTGTTTAGTCTTTTTAACTATATTTTCTTGTTAAAATAAATAGAAATTTTTTAACCAAACGCATCTAGTAACTTTAACCAGAACTTTTTTTTCAGTGTACGTTTCAATTAGGTGTGATTCTTGTTTAGAATGGTTCCATAAAAAATGTGTGAAATCCACTAATGTTATTCACTGGTTCTGTTCCGTATGTAAGACTGATAGCAAGTGAAATAAGTTTATTTTATAGGTACTAAGAATTGAAATATTGTATTATATTCATTTACGTTTATATAATTGTCATACATGCAAAAAAATGATCTCACATTATATGTTTAAATTAGGTTGTGATTCGTGTTTAGAACAATTTGGTAAAAAAAAGCACTGATAGCAAGTGAAATGAGTTTATTATATTAAAAATTGAAATATTATATTATTTTCATTCACATTTATATAAAATTTTCAATGTTAATTTAGTTCTAAATGCGTTCTTAAAAAAGAGATGTTAACATTTATATAATCTTATGCAAAGATCACAACGTGAACTACATATTTTTATACGAAGTAGAAAAAATGTAATATAATAAAAATTATATGAAGAAAATTTGTAGTACCTTCTATGCTGATTTTATAGTACATTAAAAAATGAATTTTATTTATTTTACAAAAAGTTCATTAATTATACCTACATTCGTTTAATATAATTCTAAAATAGCGTAAATAATTTAAATAATCTTTTCCCAAAAGAAGTTTTACATTTAGTTTTGTAATTATTAAAACAATTTGGAAGTAGAAAAAATAATAAAATTAAAATTTTTTTTGTCTTCTACAAAATAGATTATAATTTAAAATTTCCGCTATAAAAAAATTCTGAAGGTGCATACACAATTTCATTTAATATGTGTTGGGCGTTTTGAGGTTAAAATGAAAAAACAAAATATTTTAATAATTTTTAAAGTTAAAAGAAAATTAATAAACAGATACATAAAAAACGTTCTACACTTACCATTAGTCGTTTTGTTTATATTAATTTCACGTCATGCATATAAACTTACTAATTAAATAAATTTTAATGGGTAACGGGCCAAATAATTCACCAGTTCTTAAATGGCCCGTCTCGAAATATACAAAAGTGGGGTGGCGGGCCAAATAATAAAAGTAGCTACAAGAGAAAAGTTACAAGAGAGTTTAGAAATTGTCAGTTATTCCTCAATTTTTCAACTTAAACTGATGTTTACCTCATTAATTATGTTTTAAACATTTTTTTCTTCATAGTTTTCTTTAAAAATTGACTGATTTATTGCAGTTTTTCTATTTCAAAGACCAGTAGCAAATTTAAGTATTTGTCAGTTTTCCTTGGTTTTTTATTCTTAATTGTTTTATGTAAAGTGCTTCTAAAATTTTAAGCATTTTTTTGTATCTTGGTCTTTCTAAGAATAAGTTTCTCTGTAAATATTAATTTTATTTTCCATATAAAAAAACGTAGCTAGCCTCAAAAATGAAATGGCAACATCTATATAAAAATTCATTTTCTGCACTTCCATTTTGTCTTCTTTCCCGTAAACATTGGGCAAGTAAGTGATGATCAAGATAAAAGATTTCATCAAGAAATATATATACAATAAAAAACGCTTCTAAGGGAAAAGCACAGTGAATATGTTCTCCGAATATTGCTGGATGCTTAAATGAGGCATTTCATTTGAAAACGATCAGTCATGACTTAGATTTTTTTAATATTTCGTTTTTTTGTATTATTTGGGGACTTAAATAAGTGTGAAAAATTTTAATTAAAAATCTTAAGTTTTTTTCAAGTTATTTACATTAACAAATTTAAGATACTTTTTTTCCTTTTCGCTATAACTTTTTCATTTTTCTTTCTACAGAAAAGTGTTTTAAATGTTTTTTCTTCAAAAATTATTGAATTTTAAGAAAATGATTTTTATTTTTAATATTTTATAATTTTTATATTATTTATTTAAAAAAAAAAAATTTTTATTAATGTTTAAACCTGTTATCGGGCTAATTTCGATCTAAAAAAATCATCGGTCAGCGCTTGGGTTAGATCCCATGCTGCGCGCCGATAGAGCCATGCACGGTAAATAATTCTAATTTTCGGATATTTTTTTAATTTAGTAATTAATATTAAAAATTTAAGTTGAATTTTAGTTAGCAATAAAAACATTCTTGACAAAAAGTATATTTGTAAAATATGTTGTAATTTCATTTTTGAGGCTAGCTACGTTTCTTTTTATATGGAAAATAAAATTAATATTTACAGAGAAATTTATTCTTAGAAAGACCAAGATACAAAAAAATGGTTAAAATTTTAGAAGCACTTTACATAAAACAATTAAGAATAAAAAACTAAGGAAAACTGACAAATACTTAAATTTGCTACTGGTCTTTGAAATAGAAAAACTGCAATAAATCAGTCAATTTTTAAAGAAAACTATTCAAATAGGGCTCGTTCGACGCACAATTTAGTACGCTTGAATATTACATGAAGAAAAAAAATGTTTAAAACATAATTAATGCGGTAAACATCAATTAAAGTTAAAAAATTGAGAAAAAACTGACAATTTCTAAACTTTCTTGTAACTTTTCTCTTGTAAATATTACTTTTAACAAAAAAAACTCTATGTGGGTTGAAAAGCCCTGCTTTTCAGCTTCAAAATGAAAAAAAAACTTTTAAATCGGTGCAAAAATAAAAAAGTTACAAGGGTTTTAGTCATAAATATACGTGAAAACGGTTTTTTTGCTCTAAAATTAAAATTTGGGGGTGTTAGGGAAATTTTTAATATACAATTCTTCTTAGTTTTTTGTTACCTACAACCTCTAGTAGGTTCGATAAAAAGTGTTTTTCAATTTATTTTTTTTTTCTGTAACACAGTGTAATTCATTTTAGACTTTTTTTTCTTAAAGGTTATGTGTTGATATTTATATTGATAAAAAAATTTTTTAATTAATTTATAAAAATAGTTGTAATAAATTCAACGTTACCTTTAAGAGCTTGTGCAAAAACATTAACTGGAGCTTTGAAAGTATTTCTTGAAATTCGAGGTTTGTATTGTTTAGTCGAACCTTGACAATTGGCATCTTCCGAATAGGATACATTTGTAGTTTTAAATAGAGTTGTTGGAAGTGAAAATTGAAATTCATCATTTATTGGAATTTCTGGTGATATTACATGATCAGATGTAATTCCAAAATTAATAATTCTTTCCGAATTATGTACAACACTTGGTGGTGAAAATGTAAATTTTCTCCAATCTTCATTATCCTCATTTCCCATTGTAACACTTTCATTGTTTTCATTTTCCATTGTATGTCAATTTATTATGATACAAGTTGTTATTGAAACTATTTCATCACTGTTGTTTACACTTTATGAAATAATAAGTGCATTTAAAAATTAAATAATGTTTACAAAATAGAACTTGTGTCATTTATATGTATTCAACATGTATACATAAATACAATCATTTTCACAATGATGGTATAGATAGACAAAATGATGCCACAATATAGAACTGCAACTTAAAGGTGCATACAGAACTGAGACCATCTCTCAAGTTGCGATCACACTTTTCTTGGAAAATCTCAGGTAAATTACATTTAGTTGTTTACAGTATAGTAAATAGTAAATTACAACCTTTTTCTAAAAAACAATGCATTTTTTAATGAAGGGGGGTAATAAACGTAATATACTTAAATGTAAATTGCATGTAATATACGTAAAAAACTCTGAGTTACGCGTAAGTGCGCAACCCTGAGAATGCATTCATGTAAATACAGCTTAAGTATTCGCAGCAATTCAACCCTGCTCTTGTAGACATATAATAAATATATATTTATATATTATTACTACAAATGAAAGTAAATAAACGGATATGACTGATATAAAAGATATTAATAATATAAAATAGGTAAAAAAAACATATAATATTTACATCTTGTAGAAAAAATATTTTATATTGTAAAAAATGTTAGAGTTATTTTACAACATTGGAAACAAATCACCACGTGGTCCATGAAATAAACAAACATAACCCACATGTTATTTCATAACCTCAAAGTAAAAATACATATATTAACAGTAGACCCAAATGTGTAAGTCAAAACACGGAATCAAAAATTAACGTAAAAGTTGAGTGAGTTCATTTCATTTACCTGATTTTATTGTTCTTTATATGAGTAATTTGTTTTCATGTAAAATCACATTTTATTATATTAATTAACATTAATTTTAAATACCAATATTATTAATTTAATTATATAGTTATTTTAAGGATATATCTAGTTAAAATTTAACTATCATGTACTTTTAGATATATTTTAATAATTTCAATAAATTATTACACACATTATATTAATTTTTAACACGAGCATTCTTTTACAAAATATTTTTATTACTATTCATTGTTTATAGATTGATTATTGATTTGATTATTTATGCGAATTGTCCTTTGATAAAATTTTTGAATAGGCAAATTTTTATTTAATAGAACATTTATTTGTACACAAATTTTTGTCTAAAAGTCTTCACTAAATTAATTATTTTTAATAATTTTAATGAAATTTTTCACAAATTCAATTATCTTAAACTATTTTATAATTAAAATGTTTATGAAATTTAATAATTATTTATAATTTTAAGAAAATTAGCGAATAAAATCACAAAAAATTTTTAATTCAAAATCACTTTGAAATTTAATTATTTGCAAAAATTTCAATTATTTTTAATGATTTTTATAATATTCTTTGAAAATTCAATTATCTGAAAGCATTTTTTAATTAAAAATTTTTTGGAATTCAATTTTTTTATATGATTTCTAATAAATTCTGCAATTACTAATAAATTTTTTAGTAACAGAAATCATCAAAAATTTTAAATCAAAATTCAATTACTTTTAAAGAATATTATCTAAAATTATTTGATAAATTATTTTTAGTTCTGTAAAATTTAATTATTTTCTGAAAATTAACAAAATCTTTTGAAATTCAATTATTTCTAAAAATTCCAATTTTAACTCTTCAAAAATTGTTATTAAAAAAAATTTTTTATTTAAAAATCTGCAAAACTTGATTAAGTATTGCCTGAATTTTTTTTGACCATCAAAACTAAAGACTATGACAAAATTTTAAATTCGAATAAATTGCTTAAATCAGACTTCAAAAAATTATAAAAAATGAAACTTTAAGAATTTTTTTTATAAATTTGTCCTACTTAAATAAAATTTTGAAAAATTGTGTCCATCATGAAATGAAAATTCATTTAAATTTTGAAATCTATTCATCCGTCCCGCTCAATGAGGATAAAATTGTTGAAACTTTTTTCATGTAAAATCACAAAAAATAGCGAAATATATTTTAAATTTTCTTTTTTTCAGTACTATCTAGAAAGGACAATTTAGACGAATTATGGAAAATCAATGTGAAGAAAATATGTACGATCATACAAATAATTTAATTAAAAAAGGTGACTATGTAATAATCAGAAAAGAAAATTTTATGAAAGTTCATAAAGTAGGGGAAAACAGTATTTTTACAATTGCAAAAGATGAAGTTGATACAAGTTCAATAATAGGAAAACCATTTTGGACAACGTTTGAAATAGTTCCGTCAAAAAAATGTGAGACAATTAATACTCTACAACCAGTAACAAAAGTAGAGACATTAGATAAATTACGATTTGACTCATTAAAATCAGGTGTTGATAATCGATTGATTAATGATAATGGTACATCACAGCAATTGTCGAAGGAAAATATTCTTGATCTTCGAAAAGCTGGAAAATCGGGAAAAGAAATAGTTCAAACACTTATTGAAAATAGTACATCTTTTACAACAAAAACTGAATATTCTCAAGAGAAATATATTCGGAAAAAGGGGAAAAAATATTTTCAATATCTAACCATTAGCAGGCCAACTATTGAATTATTACAGGAGATTTACTATCGACAAGATTTTTTTAAAATTAATTCAATAAGAATGGACACATTGGCACAAATACTTTCCTACAGTGATGTTAAATCAGATGGTGTGCACTTGTTGTATGACAGTGGATCTTTAGGATTAACAGCAGCGAGTATACTCAATCGCATTGGAGTCAATACTTCTGGTTATTTAATAAATCTATATCCTGGCAATGAACCACAAAACACAATTATAAAGGCAATGAATTTTCCATCTGAACTTTTAAATCGATTAATTAACATTAGTATGAAAAATTTTATTCAAGGTAAAGAAAATACGGTAAATATTTCACGTAATGAAAGTAAAAAACTTGAACTACCTGAAAGTAATACAGAGGAACAATCTACATCAGAATGTCATTCTGTAAATATTGATTCTAGTGAGATTTCCGTTCAAGAAAATCCCCGTAAACGAAAACCTTCTATAAATGCCGATGTCGATATGGTTCCTCAAAAGAAAACAAAAATATGTGCTATAAATCTTCTTAACAATAATAAAGCCGATGTATTAATTGTAGTTGCTAAAGAACATCCCCTTAATATTGTTGAAAGTCTTATACATCTTGTTAATAAATCTCGACCGTTTGTTATTTTTCATACAAATCGGGAACCACTACAAGACACCTATGTTGTACTTAAACAAAAATATCGAGTAGTTAATTTAAAGCTTTTTACCAATTTTTTGCGATCTTATCAAGTTTTAACTGACAGAACGCATCCTGATATTATGACAAATAGCTCTAATGGTTATCTTTTGACAGGATATTTTACACAATAAAAATGTCTTTAAATTAACAAATCTACTTGATAATTGAGAACTGAAAATAACATTTTTGTTATGAATTATTCTTTTAATTTTTAAACAAAAATTGTTTTATTTAATATCTGCATAATAAAATATATTAACAACGAATATATTCATATAAACGAAGTAGTTTTTTTTTTTTTTTAATTTTTTATGTTCTTGGACATTATTAATTTCTTTTAGTTGCAGAAATTAAAACAAAGTGTTCTGGAAATAGTCTTCAAAAGCCTAATATACTCTAATTCTTATACAGGATTAATAGAAAAGAGATTTTGCGAAATATCTTAGTCTGAAAGCGAAATTTCAATTAATCTAAAATTTAAAATGAACTTTGAATAATGATATCTACGAAACGGAAAGAGGTAAAGTAATATTTTTTCTCATAGTTAATATAAAATTCCTCATAGCGGAGTTAATTTTGAAAAAACCACTAAAGAAAAACAATTTTTATACAAATTTTCAACCATTTTATGATTTTTGTGTTTTGAAATGTGTTGCTTACACAAAAATGTATTCTTTGAGTACAAAAAACGTATTTTATAGCTAAGGCGCTATTGAAAAGCTAAACTTTTTGCAAATTATGTTGAATAACCTAGAAAATTTTTTTAATAATTAAGATAATTTAAGATATCCTCCACCGATTATTATTTTCGTTTACGTCTTAAAATCAATGTGAGACATCACTGAAAAGATATCAATAAAAAAAAAACAGCGAGGTGCCAGAACTTTTGGGTTAAACTTGGTTTAGACCCACTGTGAAAGATTTACAATTCAGATTTTTCAAATTAATTGAACTTCAAGTGATGTTTTATTGAAATTTTTGGTGATTTATGTTGATGAAGAATTTATTAGAAATTATAGACAAAAATTGATTTTCAAAAGTTTTTAATTGAAAAATGCTTTCAAATAATTGAATTTTTGAAAAATATTATAAAAATCATTTAAAATCATTAAATTTTGGAATAATTACAGTTGACATTTTTAGAAATAATTAAATTTTAGAAGGTTTTAAATTTAAATTTTTTGATAGTAATTGAATTCATGTGATTTTAAATTGAAATTTTTCTTGTGATTTCTATTGCTGAAGAATTTATTAAAAATTGAACTTTAAAAGTTTTTAATTGAAAAATGTTTTCATATAATTAAATTTTCGAAGAATATTTTAAAAATCATTAAAAATAATTGATTTTCGGGAGAGTTATTAAAATTTTAATTGTTTAAATTATAAACAGTTATTGAATTAAAAAAATTTAAGATAATTGAATTTGTCAAGAATTTCATTCAAATTATTAAAAATAATTAATTTAGAGAACAATTTTAGTTAAAAATTGGTTAAATAATTAAAGTAATGAAGATTAGTATTGCATACTAAAAAGAGACGTATTTTATTTAAAAATTTTGTAAAAAAATGTCGAAAAAGTCGCATCTTATTTAAATATGTAAGTCGAAAAAAGTCGTATAATCCGAGTCCTGTCATTGAGTGAAATTTTTGATTTTCATTGTGCAAAATTTTTTATTCAAAAATTATTAATTTTCAAAAAAAAAAAAAAACAAACAAACAAATTTCCTTTATCATTTTAAATTTAAAAAATTGAATTTAAGATCTTTATATAACAAAAAAATGTTCGTGGACGAATACATAAATGAAATTACAAGAGTAGTGTTTTAGTCACTTTGTCAATTTTATAATTATATTTGTTTATGTAATTATTATTTACAATTTAATTACATTATAATTTAATTTTTTATTTAAAAATGTAAAAATTTAACTAAACAAAATTTTCTATTATACAAAATAAACAAAAAATTAATAGTAAACAAATTAAATAAATTATCCACTCCATCTTGTGTAATCGTACTGTTATGTTGTTAAATATTTCCTTCCATATAATTGAGCCTTCTTTTCAAATCCCACAGACTTGATTGGAGTATTTATCTTGTAAAAAGGATTCATAGAATACTGCAACAAACAAATAAAAATGTAACGATACCTAATATCTATTAATTACAATTTTTTATTTATTTATAATAAATTAACATTTTTTAAATAAATTTCTTATTTATTTTGTTTAATTAAATTGCAATTAGAATTTCATTAAGCAATAAATTTTTTTATCGTCTTTGTTTTAATTTGTCATCAAATACAAAGGAACTGTATTTTTTTTTATCAAAAGGAATTAATTAATCTATTTAAAAAAATAAATTTATAGAAATAATGGCTATTTTTTTTTACTTTTAGAAAAATTCAAAATTTTTTTCCAGTATCAAAACAATATTTATCAGATTGAAGATGATCTTAAAATGAAAATATGTATTTCAGAAAAAAATCATTTTTTATAGGGGAAAAAAAGTGTTGGTTTAATAAAATCTGTTAAAAAACGAAATCTACATTTAAAAAAAATTTTAAATTTTTACATTATCATTATATAAGAAAATATTATAATTAAAATAACAAAAAGAAAAAAAAAACAAAGGTTCTACCGAGATTTGAACTCAGATCGCTGGATTCAAAGTCCAGAGTGCTAACCATTACACCATAGAACCGTTATGAAGTGCTCTGAAAAAATTTCATTGACTTTTATTATTGATCATTTGGAAAACATTTTTTTTCCCCCATAATGAATTTAAAATTTGAAAATTTTTATTTTGTAAACCTAATTTCATATTTGTAATGAGTAATTATAAAAATTTTTAGAAATTGAATTTTTTTGCAATTTTAATTTTAAATTGTAAAAGAAGGATCATAAGAAAATTTAAGTAGGACAAATTTAAAAATTACTCACCTTAATATAAGTTTCATACATTTCATTAAAGAAGTTTTTAATTCCATCTTCATTTTTACCATCATGTACCATAATAAAACGTATTCTAGTTGCTGTTACAAATGCACTTACAAACCATTGATTAAATTTATCGACAACTTTTAAATGCATATTTGGAGTTTTCCATATATGTTCATCCACTAAGTCAAGAGCAGCATGAGCAACAAATTGACTTAGATGTACATGATCTTCTTTCTGCTTTCAATTAAAAAAAAAAAAAAAAAAAATATATATATATTCTTTATTTTATTGGCCGTAAATACTAATTTAATATAATAATAAAAATCATAATTGTTAATTTTAGAATTTTATTATACTTTTTTTTCACAAGGTCTTGAAATAGTTTTATTAAAGTATATTTGTAAAAAACTTGTTTAATTTCGTAATTAAAAAAACTATTTCAAGTAGATGACAATAAATAAAAGCATATATAGGTGAAATTTTTTTTACAAATTTTTATACCTTTCTATCCTTACCAGCGTTTGCAAATTCTATTTCAAATAATGGATTATCAACATGACCAACAATAGCGAAGTAAAAATTGAATGCCATCACTTTATATTGGGATTATTAAATATTTTTCTGAAAATTGTTACTTATTGTTTATTGACAGCACGATTGACAGTAGTCAAAAGCAGTATATTCAGAATAAGCTAGGTTCGGTCCTCCATGTTATGGATATTTTGTCAATGACGTAAATCACGTAAAATAAGTAAGCTACAGTATAAAGGTGCGACCACACCTCAACCATAGTTTACGCAACTGTGACGTCATTTTTTCAGAGCTGAGAAAGAAATTCGAAGTTAATTGTGTTTTGGCCTTTACTTCAGTGGTGAAATTGCATGAAACTTCCCACCTATATACAATTAAAACTATATGGTTCAACTATTAAAGTCAGTTCAATTTAAGTTTTGACAGTTATTCTCATGTTATTCTGATCTAAAGTAAAGTAATTTCAGAACAAAAATAAGAAAAAAAATATATAGAGAAATTGTTTGAGAAAAAAAACAGAAAATGACTTCTTTTCAGAATTTACATGATCAAATTCAAGAGAGTTTTACGAAAACAGCTGCAAATATTTATTCATATCATGGTAATATACTGCACTTTATTATTTATTTTTCAAAAAGAATGATAATAATTATTTTTTTTTAATGTTAATGAAATTATTTTCTTCTCTCTAAAGGTTATACTATAAATAATGTTATTCTCAAAAAAAAATTAATTTTTAGTTATGGATTGATTATTTGTTTATTTATAATAGAGTCAAATTTCCTGAAATGTAACAGCAAATTTTTGAATTCACCGTATTCATTTGACTATACGTAAAATCAAAACGTCATTATGAGTTATTTAAATGGTACGAAAGATTTTTTAAAACAATTAAATTTGTCAAAGTAAACAATTAAAGTTTTTTTAAAGTGTTTAATTAATTATTTTTAATAATTTGAATGAAATTCTTGACAAATTCAATTATCTAAAATTATTTTTCAATTAAAAATTTTATTTTTAATTCAACAACTGTTTATAATTTAAACAATTAAAATTTTAATAACTCTCCCAAAAATCCATTATTTTTAATGATTTTTAAAATATTTTTCGAAAATTAAATTATGAGAAAACATTTTTCAATTAAAAACTTTTAAAGTTCAATTTTTAATAAATTCTTTAGCAATAGAAATCACAAGAAAAATTTCAATTTAAAATCACATGAATTCAATTATTTTCAAAAATTAAAATTTAATTATTTCTAAAAATGTCAACTGTAATTATTCCAAAATTTAATGATTTGAAATGATTTTTTTGATAATATTTTTCAAAAATTCAATTATTTGAAAGAATTTTTCAATTAAAAACTTTTGAAAATCAATTTTTGTCTATAACACAGGTTTACAAATTTCGGTCAACTTTTGGACCCAGAAAGGCAAGAGCATTTCTTAACGTATTTTTTATGATGAATTCGAATCCATTATTAGATTTTCCGTATCACGTTAAAATTCAAAATGGCGGATCCAATATGGCGGCGGATGACAAAAATAAACAAGGAGGGGGTCCTTTATGTTTATTTCATAAACATTTTGCTTCCTCATTGTGTGAAGCAAAAAATTTGCTTCCTCGAGGAGGAAGGTATGAATTTCTCAAATTTTATTGATTGATTTAAAAAATTTTGAGTTGAAAACTGTTTTAAATTAATTAAATTTTTTGAAAAATTAAGAAAATTTTAATTAATTTTGGGTGTAACATATACTTTATATATACATATCGATTCGTTTCAATGCAAGGAATACAATTATTATATTTATTAACTTGAATTTTAAAAAAACACAAATTTTTTTATCTAAAATATGAATTTTCGATTTTTCAATTTTTATTAATTCTCAAATTTTAAATCAAATCTATACTTTATATATACCAACCAATTCGTTTCAATGCAGGGAATAAAATTATTTCATATATAAACATGAATTTAAATAAACACAACATTTTTTAGTATAATGTGAATTTTTGATTTTTTAACATTCATTAATTCTTTAAATTTCGCTCAAATCTATACTTTATATATATATCAATCGATTCATCTTGACGTAAGGAAGACGATTATATTATATATTACCTTAAATTTTTCGATTTAAAAATTTTTTCAATTAAAAAAAAATTTTTGGAAAAAAGACGATAACATTTTTTTTGGGGGTATTTTTAAAAATCCTCTCATCATTTTTGAGAGATTAATGTGTTAAATATGCCTACAAAATTTTATTCAAATCCATTAAAACCTGTTAAAGATATTGTGTTCACAAAAACGATCCACACACACATACATCCGGACAATTGATGAAGATCTCATATAACATGTTTCTATATAGAGGAAAATTTGTTTTTACCATTTTTAAAAATTTTATAAACGAAAGGACTACAAAGCTTCCTCCACGAGGAAGCAAAATTAATTGGATTTGCTTGAAACTTGTTACTCGGGACGTTTTTGAGATTGCTGATTACGAATTTGCCATCAGATTTCAAAAATTCAAAATGGCGGTTCCAATATGGCGGAAAAAATTTAAAAATTGATCGGATTTGCTTAAAACTCGTTTAAAAATGTGATGTTAAATTCGTAATCAGCGTCCTCAAAAACCCACCTAGTAACAAGTTTTAAGCAAGTCCAATTAATTTTTAATTTTGTCATCCGTTAAATTGGATCCTCCATTTAAAATTTTAAAAATTTAATGTCAGATTCGTCATCAGCGACTTCAAAAAAACCTAAGTTACGTATTTCAAGCAAATCCGATCAATTTTTAAATTTCTGTCCGACATATTAAATCCGCCATTTTGAATTTTAAAAATCTGAATTAATATTTTTAATCAGCGACCCCAGAAACCTTGAAAAAAGTTATGACTTTTTTTTATAAGTAATATAGTTTAATTAACAATAACAATTTCGATAAAAGCATCAAAAATTTAAAATTGCAATTCTCACAAAAACCTGACGTGTAGTAAAAAACGGACTGTGGATTTGAATTCAGCGTTAAAATTTACTTTAGGAACAGGTCTTCGTTGCTCGTGTCCAAAACCGTGTATTCCTGTGTAATTTATAATAAATTCTTCATCAACATAAATCACCAAATATTTCAATAAAACATCACTTGAAGTTCAATTAATTTGAAAAAACTGAATTGTAAATCTTTCACAGTGGGTCTAAACCAAGTTTAACCCAAAAGTTCTGGCACCTCGCTGTTTTTATATATATGTATTTTGTTAAATAACTTAAGATTATGAGCGAATTACGATCTAATGATTTAACCACACATTCTTAACATACTTTTCTATCAAAAAATGAAGAAAAAAAAATTCGATTTTTTTGACCAAAAAAATTTAGGAAACCCCTTAATGTTGAAAAATTGTGTAAAAATAAATGAAAAACTGGAGTTTTATTGAATAATGTAGGTATATAAGTTTAAATTCATTTAATAAGGTTTGCATTTAAGAATTTATTTTATTCGGTTGAGATTTATGGTCTATACCATAATTAAATAATTTTTTTCTCGAAAACTATGAGACTTATGTACCATATTTTTCAAGGTCATAAATTTTTCAGGACATTGTAGAAAATGTTTATGAATTTAAAAAAAAATCGAAGATATATTTTTAGATTTATTTAAACAATTAAAATTATATATTTTTTAAAATATTTTTTTCCATGAAAGAGCATTTAATTACGAATATTTAAAAAAAATTATCTTAATTGGTTAAAATTTGCAGATGTTATAATAAATAAAAAAAAAATTACAAAAAATTTTTATTTGCAATTTTTTGAAAAATATTTTGAATTTTTTAAAAATACTCTATAGATGATTTTGAGCACTAATGTCACGAAAACTAGTTGCTTCTAAAAAGTTTTTGACTTTTGATGAAGATAACTGGAATAAATGAAATTCTAGATAAAGATAACTATGATTGTTAATTATTCGAATTCAAAATTTTTGAATGGTTTGGTTACGGCTGAATTGATTCGAATTGTTTTTTTTTTTTTTTTTTTATTATTTTTTTTTAGAAAAGTTACAGTACGATATATGCCTATTTTTGTTATAGGTTGTGCAGTTAAAATATATGAACTGTATCTGTTTACTTTTCGTTAATATTTCTTCATGAGACCGTAATTTATTTCTAGATCAAGAGAATCAAAAGGCAGTCTTTGAACAATTGAGAAATGTAGTTGAAAAGAACTGCATTATAAATACAAAGTTACGAGAAGCTAATAATGTGATCGAAAGAATTTCAACTTTACACAGTCGTGATAATGAAGGATCACAATTCGAGGATATTCTAGTGGTTAGTGTAATTATATTATTTATAAGTTTATAAGTTAGTAATTGTTAAAAATAAAAATGTCATAGCTCTTTTGCTAATCTACATCTTTTTTTACATAATGAATACAAACCTAACATGATGTTTTTGTTGAGAATTTTTACTCTGACTACAAATTTATAGGCAAATAAATTTTTTTTTTTTTTGAAAATTACTATTACAAAATCTACAAAATAAATTAAAAGTATTTTTTTTATAGAAATTCAAAAGTGAAATGGATAAAATTAATCCGGATGTTTCGAAAAATAGATATCTTGTTGACTTTGATCGTCAAGTTAAAGAATTATTGAAAGGTAAGATAATGCATTTACATGTACCTACTTTAAAAAAATTTATCTCTACCATCAATCGGGGCTATTAAGGTACAAGCTACTTTTTATTTTGTAAAATATTAATTTCGAAATATTAAAATTTGACTCTTAATGTTATTAGTAAATTCAGTTTTAGAAATCAGAAAAAAAATTAATAGACGAAAAAATTTTGTTGGAAATTGGGAAGTTTTGTGAAAATCTAATACCATTAATAAAATTCACGAAAGTTAGTGTCAAAAATATTCAAAATTTAGTTATGACAATATATACTCGATGCGCTAACTTTTTATTAAGTATTTTAAGAGAAAAATGTCTAAAACTGAAAATCCAGCATTTGCAGGGGTAAAAAAACTCATGTGCTTTGATTTTATACACAAATGACTTATTTTTGTATCAGAAAATTGAAAATAAATCAGTTATAATTTTACAGAATAAAAGTAACTAGTGTTTAAAAAGAAACCTTAAACGCTTGTACAAAAAGAATTTAAAAAAAAATTTAATAATAATAAATATTTATAGATGCAGATGGTGGTAATAATGATAATAATGATGAAGATGGTGATGATGATTTGCAATTTACACAAGATACTGTCAATGTAATTGACCCTTTTACGAAAAAGAGAATGACTGATCCTGTGAAAAATAAAACATGTGGTCACGTTTATGATCGTGAAAGTGTCACTGCTATGCTGAAAGTTAATCCACGAACTAGGTAATTGATTATTATTTTTCTCTGTGAAGGGGAAAATTTATTCAAAATTAACGGATTTTATTTTTGTCTCCTCCAACGGACATTGATATTAGTCACTGGTTAATTAAAGTTTGATAAATGTAGTTTTATCGGATATATCTTACAGATTTGAGTTAAATACTTGTGATAATTTATTTATCATAATATGAGGATTAACGAAATGTACAATATCTCGTCGGGTTAGTGGAAAACTATGCCATTTCAGAAAATATTTGAAAAACATGCCATTCCGCGTAAAGATTGGAAAAGATGCCTATTCGTGAAAGCCGTGTGAAACATCAAACATGCCATCTCGGATGATATTTGAAAAACATGCCATTTCGTCGAAGAGTTTTTTTTCTCCTATTTTAAGTTGGTAATACTGACTCGAAATAAATAATAGGCCTATTTTCATTAATTAAATCGTCAATTTCTATTTCTGACAGACAGTATTTTGTTTCGATTAAATTTTAATATAGAAGCTAACCGACATAGTAAAAACCCAAAAAGGGTATACGTGAAGAGATCAAAATAAAAAAAATAATAATATAGAAGCTAATATTTCATATAAAATGCACTATATTGTTAGTGCAAACCAAGTAGAAAAATAATTACAAGAAATCTAATTTTAAAATAGTAGTCAAAGAAAATATGTAGAGTAAAATACGAACTTTTGGCATTTTTAGATATTTGACTAATTTGAAAAAAGTGCTTTCATTATTAAATTTTTTAATAAGAATAGCAGAAATCAGAGAAAAAGCTTTTTAGAGATGCCTATTATTTATTTCGAGTCAGTATTACCAACTTAAAATAGGAGAAAAAAACTCTTCGCTGAAATGGCATGTTTTTCAAATATTTTCTGAAATGGCATAGTTTTCCACTAACCCGACGATCTGTCCCTTCAATAGAAAGTTGAAATTAATATTCTAAAGTTGATGCTAATGTAAATTTAAATGAAACGTATATAACGATAGTTCTTTTGTTTGCAGGTGTCCTGTTATGGGTTGTGGTAGTAAAGAATTCATTACTATAAATAACTTGGAAGCTGATATAGTGTTAAGAACGCGCTTATTAAAAAAGAAAGTTTAATTAAAAAAAAATTAAATCACATTACTTTAAGCCATTTAAGTTTTAAGTATTTAATACTGTTAATTTGAGAAATAAATACTACTTTTCTATATGAGAATTGTTTTTACTTGATCATTTTCTTAATTTGTATCTTTAATCTCTCTGACAACTTTTGTATATAGAGAGTAGTGTTAATGCAAGTAGAAACCAGTTTTTGTCAGACTTGGAATTTCAATTAGATCCAACAACATTTAAACTGAAACCACTTCGTTTTATACTTGTCATTTCAAGTTCAGTTCTATAATTTAAAATTCAAGTAGGATCTAGTTAGTTTCATATTTGCCATTACAAATTCAGGCTGGTTGGATTCAACAATTTACTAGCATGTGCAAGTTAAAACCAATTGATTTTGAATTTGGGATTCCAAGAAGTTCCACAAGGGTATCTTGGTGTTTACTTGGAATGCCAAATTTTATTACTGCCCAAGATGAAACTAGTAAACCAAGTTTAGTAGTTCCAAGTAGATCCAAGTAATTTGTAGACGAACATTGTAACCATCTTGGAATTCCAATATCCAAGTTGAAACTAGTTCATCTTCTAATCGGTATTACAAGCTGTTTCAAGTAGGATGTAAACACTCGTAAAAACTATTTCCTTTTTCTACTTGGAACATTTAACAGATCCAAGAACTACCAAACACATGTGTCATCCTTTATTATTGCCAGTTGAAACATCACAATTGAACCATTCAGCATTTTGGGATGCATATTGATACATACTACACAGATTTGTTATTGAGGGCAGTGGCAAGGTTGATACTGAAAAACTTTTAAGCAAACCTCCTTAGACAAATAACAGTTGCAAGTAAAAACACATGCCATTGTCCTTTAGCATTACCATTTAGAACATCACAGTTGAACCGATCGGCTTTTGGGACTTTTTTCTCTAGAGGGGAGTTGTTGGCGCAAAAACAAAGACTTGCAATTGAACAACGAAGAAGGAGAAGGTAGAGGAATACTCATCCAGCTGTTAATACAGAACCCAAAATGCTGAAAATCAACCATGTACTAATTTTATTACCTGTAGAGATAAAAGCCTTGGGAATAAAAACCCCAGGCACCAAATTATCAACAATTCTTCCAGTAAGCCGAAATTTAACTCCAAAGCCTAACCTTGTGACGAGGAGGAGTACGCTGAAGCAAGAGGCAGCAACACATGAAGTAGAGTAAAAAGCAAGGAGAGTAGTTCAAACGCCATAGAGATGGACGACATGAGCTCCACATCACCAAATAGTTTCGAATTATTAAAAAACGTCTTGGAAAGTGACTTTCAATTAAATATACGACAAATGATGAACTGAAAGGGGCAACCAGCAAAGCAGATTTAAAGAAGGTCGAGAAGGAGTTTCTGCACAAATGACGATGAATTCGAATAGAATCGACCAAATTTGCAAACATTTAAATTTTAAAAATGATCCGTAATATCACTCCAAATCAAAACACACTAGTACATGCGCAAACACAGGGAAATATCAACACGGGCAGGCTCCTTTCATTGCTGGTGTCACGTCACCGTAACTTTAATATTCATATTATAAGAATTCTTAAATCTATACCGAGTTGCGTTTTTCTTGCGACAAACACCTGTGTTTTTGTTACGCATCTAAATACTTTTCTCTTAAATGTTAAATTTCCGCACAACTTTTGTCGCACAACTAAACATCTTTCTTTTATATATAAAAGACCCCTGCGTTTTGTATCCTTCTACGTCTATATACTGTATTTCTAAAATATACAAACAGAAGCGAGAAATCTTTTATGACACTAGAATAGCTCACACCCCCACGAAACAAAATACTCTCTTTCTAATTTTCCCTATGTGCTAAAATTAGACGATGTAATAAATGCTCTCTTTCTAATTTTCCTATGTGACGAACCCCTGTGGTATCACCACATTAGAAGACCATAAACACTCTTCTACAGCTGCGAATAACCGTAGTCGTACTCTTTCTATCTTGTATTAGAATGGTTCACACCCCCCCTTTTTACGTTCAACTGAGAGAGAAGGACTCAACTTTGGCTTCCAAAATAAGGGTGAAAAATATATAGTACGACAATAAAATTTTATCTATTATCTTATGAAAATTCAGTATAAAAGGACTACATTTTCACGGAGAGATCAGTTCTGAAATCATCTTCAGACGTATAACATCAAGCTCATTTTTGGTACCAGTCGACGTCTTCTAGTTCAAGTGCATAATTTTCTTATACGAAAGTTAAAATCAAGTGTCAAAACCCTCTACATTAAACGAGGATCTTTACTTCTCATTATATTGGGCAATTATCCATTCTTCCTTTATTTGGAAGAGACTCATTATTGGGAGTTTCATCACGCTTAATAGAACTCCAGACCTGCGGTTATACCTAAGCCCGTCAACCTACCTGACGTCATAAACTCACGCTGGTACCAGCTCTTTTCCTGTGACAACAAAGGACACAGCAGTGGTCCTTTTTCTTTCAACACAACTACTACTGAATTTTAAGTTGAATGCTGAACTCTCTATTTCCTGCATTGGTTGGTTCGAGATTCCCTCTCTCTCATAAGAACGAATTGTTGTAACTAAAAATACTTGTCTAAAAAAATTGTAACCTAATTATAAAATTAATCACTATTCTCTTTTTTTCCTGTACCCTTAGTTCAGAGCCTTTAAAAAAGTGAATCTTAATAATAATTACAAAATTAAAAATATTGAATGTACATACAATAATTCAAATAAAATTTAAAAATAACAATAAATTCTATCTCATTAGTATTTATGCAGGAGGAAATAATAGAAATGATTTTATTAAAGACTTAAATATAATATTTTAAGAGTTAAAACTATTAACCAAGCAGGAAACTTATTTATTAAATCACTGTGGTAACGTATTAAATAGCTGGTTAACAAAAAATGACCTTAAATATAAAATAAAATTATCAAGCCCAAATGAACCCACATTCCTAGAAACAAATTTCTTTCTGGATGTCTGAATGCACGATATAAGGCCAACGTTGGAAAACTTAATAAACGGAAAAATCACGGTAATATATGATAGCGACCATATAATGGTCTTAAGATGAAATTCTTCATCCCTCATAGAGATGAGTTCCCTTCAAATGAAAATAATAATAATATAAAGCCTTAAATTTTAATAACACGAATTGGGCAAAATTTAATACTAAGCTGCGAAACTATGATTTTGACTTCTCAATTTTCACCGATGTTAATTTAAAAAATGACGAGATAGATGAGAATTAAAACAATTATTAAAAAAAAGTTAAACAAAAAATTAAAAATATGCTTAGAGGTTAAGCGAATAAATATTGAACATATAAGATAGAAAATATAAAAATCCAAGATAATGAAAAAATATTTCATAAAATAAATCCGATTTTCAGACCTAAACAAAAAAATAAAATAGATACCCTCCATGTCGCGGACAATAATAATGAACTGATAAACGATGCAAAAATAAATGTAAATACAACCCGTAAATTAAATAATAACTGATCAAATTCAAAAACTAAATGTTCTTGATGCGCTCACTACGCCGTAATCAATAACAAAAATAGAAATTCAAATAAAATCGCGTTTAACAATTAAGTACAAAATACGATAAATAAATACCCTAGTGAAAATCTCCACGTGAGATCCTAAATATGATCCCATATCGGTTCCCCTATAAAAACCCTTATGAAATCCCAGGTCCCATATAGATTCCCATGTAAAATCATTTAGAAAATTGGGACACGATTTGGTGTATGATTTCATGTGGGAATTTATGATTTTGTTTTTACATAGAAACCTATGTAAATTCCTACATTATTTCCTATAATTTTTCTGGTATATTATTTTTGTCAATTACCTAGGTTCATTTCCTTCATAATTACTCACAGAGTGAATCTCTACAAAGTTTACTATCTTACTTCTTAATGAAATGAATTTAATTTAGAAAAATTTCAATAATTTTTGTCTTTTTCAGTTTCTAAGTCCAAGTTGAACTTAGAAAATAACATTATCTATATTTATGAAAATTTTTCTATTTTCAAAATTTTAAGCAAAAGACGTCTTTAAGACATCTTAAAGAAATCTAATGGCCAAGACATAGAACATTCTTAGGACGTCTTTTGAACAAGTGTGCTTACTGGGTTGGTATAAGGGAGATTTCGGGGGTGCTAAATTCGAATTTGACCTTCAAATTAAAAAATTAAAAAAGGTGGATCCAAAATAGCGGACATAATTTTTAAATTTTTAACGGATTTTAATTTTTAATCTATAAAAACAAACTAATCTCAAAATATATTTTTTAAATTTGAGTTATTAAAATTAGAAATTTTAAAAGCAATAAAACTCGGGTTATAATTATAATCCTTTAACAAAGGACATGTTCTACTGTTCAAGGAGGGATTGGCAATATAATTTCCGAACTTAACGGTCTTCAAAGTACACATACATTGAAAAAACATGATTTCAATGCTCAAAACTTAAGCATTTGTGCAATATTATGAATTTTGTCCGATTTTTTAAAGCACCGGGCACGAGTGACCCATAGTTACAGTCAACGTAGGTCTAAAACCACCTTACAGTCTAAGGATTAAAATAAAAAAAAAAGTTTCCTTCAAGAACATAAACTTGACCCCATATCACCATGTTGCTGATATATTCAAGAGCAAGGGTGTTAAACAAAAGTTCCAACGGTTTTATTCTTGTTGTATTTTTATAAGGTTTCCATTGTATCACTCAAGGTATCCGAAGGTATTCCTAAACCTTTTATTATCCAATAAGTGGCGTCTTAAGACTGTTTGTCGACTTAGGTGAGATAGACATATATTTAATGTATGAAGAAGAGTACATATGAATGCTACGCGTTAGAATATTGGTGCATATTTAAACATAATTTGTAGCTGACTAAACGAGCTGCACCCGACCGAAGAGCTCCGAAATACCTTCTCCAATATCCTTAACAAAATTAATAACCCACAGTGCATATTTTTGGTTTAACAACAAACAACTTTGGAATAATATATTTTTATTCAATTTTTATTACACAAAAGAAAGGTAATTCTAATACGATTTCACATTTTATTACAAAGAATAAGTGAAAATAATTTCACATTATTGTATTTTGTTTATTTTCTTCAATTGTAGTTAAGAATAAGAAGTTATTCCTTTAGCTTCTTATGTACTACATTCAAATTCTTTTATGAATGTCATTTAGCATGTAAGGATTTTTTGAAAAAGTGTGTAAAGAAAATCATGATTTTAATATTTTTTTGATTTTTTGTTGTGTAGTGAAACCTAAGCTTAAATCAAATAACTTATTATAAAATTGAAAAATATTTTACAATCTTGATTTTTAAATTTAATTTCACTTTGATTTGAGTTTAAAAAAAATTTATTATTTTTCATTTGTGTCGTCAAGTGTTAAAAGTTGTTCAATTAATGAATGATAAGTATTTTAAAAAAATTTGTATTTAGGAAGTTTTCAAACTACGATAAAATATTGATTTATTAATAATGAAATTCGTAGTTACTTTCATTTAGCTTATGTAATTATAATGTAGTTAGTTATTCACTTTGTTTTTTTTCTGGAGTTTATTCTGGTACTAATTTAATTATCGTAACAAGTCACATATGTTATTATTATTATACACTTTTGGTAAATTTACTATTTTTATTTTTTGCTTTATACTTTCAAAAATATTAGAAAATGTGTTATTACATGTTATTGCATTTTTAACACTCTTCTGGGTAGAAATTCCCCTTCTTTTAACTGTTCTTTAAAAGTGACCTAAGTGTGGAAGCCATCTATGGGCTATTCGAATTTTGTAACCTTGTTCCAATTTTTTCCCCTATAATTTGAAATTTGTCATATAAAAATAAACATAAAATTCATTAAGATAAATTTGATAAATTAATTTCGGAACTTTTGAAATAAAAATAAAAATGGAATTTCTTTTTTTTCACAAACTTTATGTGTATTTTTGTCCATTAACTTTTAATAAAAATTAATGACAAAATGTGCATTGAAAAAAAACTAGTAGGTTTTACTACTTTTTAACTACTCTGAGTAGTACAATAGGTCCTCAACTGAATTTAAACGATTCTATTAACTATATAAAAATAGTTAAACCAATTAAAAATGTAATTGGTAGAATGACATTTTGTGATTGTATTAACTCAATTTAAAAATGTTAAAACAACTCAAGATGTAAGTAGTAGATTTTACTACTTAAAGTGGTTCAATAGGATTTAAGAACATTTTTTTTGTAGAATTAATAAATCTTTTGCAATTAAAACTACTACTTTGAGTAGTAGATTTTACTACTTAAAATAGGAAAATAAAATTATTTTTTATTTACAATTGTTTATTATCAGTAGAATTGACTTTTTCATCCTCTCTCCTATACTGACGCTTATTTTATGCCCTAACGATTATGTACCCAAAAGAGAAAATTTCTAACCGACGGGAATTGAACCCTCGACCCTAACGCTCGCTATCCGATACCTTAACCGACTAACCACGCACGCTCGCTACGACAGTCTGCAAACTACTCGAAGACTACTTTCTGCTTGTCCAATTGGTAATTTAACTATTTAAAGTAGTCATTTTTACTACTTTTATAAGTTGCTACAACTATCCTTTTTAATTTTTGACTTGTAAATTTTTCATCTTTTAATTATATTATAAGTTGTTTAATTGCATAGTGCAGTAAAATCTACTACTTAAAGTGATAGTTTTAATTGCAAAGGATTTTTTAATTCTACGACATAAATGTTCTTAAAGCTTATTGAACCACTTTAAGTAATAGTAAAAGCTACTACTGAAAGTAGTAGTTTTAATTGGAAACGATTTGTAAATTTTACATCAAAAACGTTTTTCAAGCTTATTGAATTAATTAAAATAGTAAAAAATTACTACTTAAAGTAGTAGTTTTAATCACAAAGGATTTGTTAATTCTACAACAAAAATGTTCTTAAAGCCTATTGTACCACTTTAAGTAGTAAAATCTAATACTTAAAGTAGATTGTTTTAACTGGAAACGATTTGTAAATTCTACATCAAAAATCTTCTTTAAGTTTATCGAATTAATTAAAATAGTAAAAATCTACTACTTAAAGTAATAGTTTTAATTACAGACGTCTTGTTAATTCTACAACAAGAATTTTATTGAAGCCTATAAAATCATAGAAATTAATAAAAAATTGACTACTCAAAAAGCAGTTATATTAATTAAAGAAAATAATTCCTTTTACTACATTTCATATAACTGGTGAATAATAGTTGGATTTACTACTCTTCAAATTTTGAGTTGACTACAATTCCACTTGTTTTTACTACCTTAAGAAAGTTAATTTTACTACCGACCTGTAGTTGTACTTTAATTACATATTTACGTAAAATCAACTATTACTTATTAACTTCTTAAAAATAGTTACATTAACTACATGAACATGATTAGATTAACTAAAAAAGTAGTTATTTTAACTACTTTCTAGTCAACTACCCAATGGTAGTTGAATTTCTCGGCAACATTTTTTTCAGTGTAAGGTTATTATTATGAATTTGTATATGTTTTGATACAGGAAATTTTATAGGATAAGGAATGGGATATTGACATGGAAAATTGTGATAAGATAATGTGAGAAAAAATTTAGAGGAAATCACATAGGAATTCACATGATTTTTCAAATGGAAGTATATATGATAACGCCTATGTCATTTCCTATATTAAATCCTGTTTCACTTTCCTATACGAATTTATATGGGATCCTATAAAAATTCCTATAAAATTCAAGGATTTCATATAGTTTTTTTTCTGGGTTTTATCGAATCCTATATAAGATCTTACATGGGGATTTTCAATAAAGATATCTCTGTAAGCTCCCGGTGTAATCTTACCTTGAATTTACAATGTAAGCTAACAATAAATAAATGTAATAATGTAATAATTAACAAATAATTTATGCGTTGTAGTTTTCTATGACATCTACTGCTGAGCAATAAATTTTATTGAACCTAATCTAAGTCCTGTTAACAATATATAACAGAAATACATTACAGCACTATGAGCATTTTCTCAAAAAGTTGGCCAAAATACAAATTTCATTCAAAATGGCCTGAAATTTGTTACTTAATTAATCAATTTTTCGACAGAAACCATTTCTGTACATACATATATATATATATATATATATATATATTGTTATTTTTTTATTTTCCGAAGCACTTTTGTGTCCTTTTCAAAGACGTCACAACGATCTTTCTTTGGCTTGAAGAATCCAATATTAAATTTTGAGTTAAATACATCGTATTCTTGTTTTCTTAGTCTTTGATTTTTACTTTTCCTTCATCCAATTAACATATATATACATTCTGCTCAAAAGCTTAATTTTTCTTTTAAGTATTCACAACTCGAATCTTCGCTGGCATAATGAGATTCAAATTTTACAGACATATTTATATGTTCAACTACGCGTGCTCTGTTATAAGTGATAATTATCGGTTTTGTTTCTGATTTTTCATTTTGTACGTTAGTTCAATTAGAATTTAATTTCTTAATTTTTTTAAAATTCATATTCACAGTTTACTTTCTGTTAGTACAATTTAAGTAAATAATTTAATTTCTTTTTAAGAATGACCGTGATGACTGGACCTAATTTTGCACCCCATTCATGGGGTGGGCATGGAGGAGGTTTTGGCAATCAGACTGTGGTGGACAAAGCATTGCCAGATATGCTTCACTTAATTGACCCTTACTGGTATCATTTTCCTCCAATGAATCCATTGTGGTACGGCATTTTGGGTTTTGTTATTGGATGTTTGGGATTTGTGTCATTTGTTGGAAATGGAATGGTCATCTTTATATTCAGCACTACAAAATCTCTTCGAACACCCAGTAATCTTTTTGTCATCAATTTGGCTTTTTCAGATTTTTGCATGATGTTATGCATGTGTCCAGCTATGGTGAGTTTCATTTTGACTCGAAATAAAGTACCTGGTATTTTTTAAAATATATTTACTGATTGCAGGTGATAAGCTGTTATTATGAGACATGGGTATTAGGACCATTTATGTGTGAACTTTACGCGATGACTGGATCCTTGTTTGGATGTGCCTCCATTTGGACGATGACAATGATTTCCTTTGACAGGTACAATGTTATTGTCAAAGGATTGGCCGGTAAACCATTAACTATCAGTGGAGCAATTCTTCGGATAATGGGCCTTTGGATTTGGGCTGTTGTATGGACTATCTTCCCAATGTTAGGATGGAACCGGTAATTTACTAATTTACACTATTATACAAAAAAAGATTTGGAATTATATTTTAATTTATTAAAATATTATTTTTATATTTTTTTTCAGTTATATACCAGAAGGAAACTTAACAGCATGTGGAACAGATTATCTAAATCAAGATTGGTTCTCCAGGTCTTACATCCTTGTGTACAGTTGTTTCGTATACTTTATGCCACTTTTCTTAATTATATACAGCTACTACTTCATCATTGCAGCTGTATCAGCTCATGAAAAAACAATGCGCGAGCAAGCTAAGAAAATGAATGTTGCTTCCCTTCGATCTGCTGAAAATCAAAGTGCAAGTGCTGAACATAAACTCGCTAAAGTATGTATTATTTAGATAGCCTTAATTGAAAATTACATTAGAACTGAAATTCTAAATACGTTTTTTGTTATTTAATTTACAGGTAGCATTAATGACCATTTCATTGTGGTTTATGGCATGGACACCATATTTAGTTATCAATTATGCTGGCATTTTCCAAACAGTGAGATTAACGCCATTATTCACAATTTGGGGAGCTGTTTTCGCTAAAGCAAATGCAGTCTATAACCCAATTGTATATGGCATCAGGTAAAAAATTTTTTCATAAACTTGAGTTACAATTATAGTAAAATGTTCTGAAAGCATTTTTACTTAGGAATTTTTACATTAGTTTTATAAAAATTGATATAACGAGTAATACAAGCATGAATATTCATACGAGAAATCAGTTACATACCAAACTTTCGGAACAATACATATATAATATTAACCCTTATTAAATGCAGCTAAATAATTTTATCATAGTTATACTCTCGGAAAATACAAAATATTAAGGGCAAAAACTTATTAAATTGCTGAAAGCTTGAAAAAGAATTTTATTAGTGTTAAAGTTAATTAAAATTAATTAGTTCTATGATACAGATTTTTCTATAACAAATTTTTTTTTTGTTTTCCAGCCATCCAAAGTACCGAGCAGCTCTTTTCCAGAGATTCCCATCTCTTGCTTGTGCAAGTGAACCAGCTGGTGGAGATGCCGTTTCAACAACTTCTGGTGTTACAACTGTGGCAGATGGAGAAAAAGCTGCTGCATAAATAATACACATGACGAGGAGTTACAAAACGTAACATTTAAAATCAAACAAGAAAAATCTGTGCGCGAGTGGGAAAAATTGGCGTTACATCTCAAATAATTTATACTTTTGACTAATCAGAAAACATTTAAATTTGTCAATTGGAAATAATTAACACTTGCTTTAAAAACATGTGCCAATTGTAAATATTAATCACATTTAAGATGTTTGAACATGAAAAGCGAGTAAAATTCAATTAATTTGTTACATTCTGCCAAGAAAACTAAAAAATTTTGCAATTAGAAACAGTAATTCAGTTTGGAGGAAAAAATTTACATACATTTAAAAACTATTTCCTTTCATTTAAAATTTTGATAATAAATTTAATATAATGTTAAATAATTTTTTAAAATAAAGAATTTTTAGGAAATATAAAAATAAAATAATTTTAAAAGAAAGGAATCTTCTTAGTTTACTGGTGTATATTGCTTGCATACAGAATGAATATTTTTTTCAATTGAACTATCATTAATTTTATGATACGTTTTTACACCACAACTCGTGTCATTTACAAATAATGACTAGGTCAATTCAATAAAACAATCATTTATTTGTGTAGTATTTAATATAAATTCCAGTTTACAAGGAAAAACACTGAACTTCTGTTAAGTTATTTTAAAACATCTGGTGATATTGTAATATCTGTACCTAATTTTGTAAGTCTAATAAACCCTTTAAGCTATAATAAAATTGTTAAATTTCAGTTTAACACGTGTACGTGAAAAGGGACGATTGTGTTTACATATTGGAACAGTAAAGCAAAAATAATAATTGATTTGAACTTTCTTTTAAAAAAATTTTTGTTTATATAGCTCAACTTTTAGGTAACTTTTACAAAAATGCAGTAATAAAATTTTTCCGGTTTTCAGTAAACTTAAAAACAATCAGATTTTTTTCATTGCTAATTTTTATAATTTCTGAGTAAGAATTGAATCTCCCAATTCAATAATAATAAAATAATATCGAGCCAAAGTTCTCCTTTCATGTTGTGATCGTCCGATCGCTCGCCTAAATCTTATTTTCGGTTCGTGCATGTGATATAGTTAATCGGTTAATATTTTCGTTGCTCATGAAAATTTCTATTTTAGTGTACATATTGTTTTATAATAATTATACTTATTTTTCATATTTGCCGAATAAGGTATAGTTACCTTGTTTTATATTTCAATTTACCATTTTCACAAAGCAAATGAGAAATTTTCATTTTTTATTAAAAGGGATTTAGATAAATCTCATACGAAACTTTCACGAAAATTTAATTTCAATTTTCAGTCAACTTTTAGGCGAAACATTTATTTAAGTGAGACATTTAAATCTTTAGACAATTATCACTAAACTTCCCAGTAAAAAAAAAAAGAATTGGAAGTAAACGAAAAGAATTGGCAGTGGTACTTAAGCTGAATTCGGTTTCGCGTCTAAACCGAATTGGGACGTTACGGTGAATTCTTTTTTTACCTTGAATTCTTTTCACCTGAATCGATAGAATTTACCTTTATTGATTCGAGTTGGCATTATAAATTAAAAAAGTGATTGTTCTTAAGTGTAAAAATGCCGATTACGAACAGGAAATATGAAATTTTGTTAAATTGTAAAAATGATAAATTTGTCAGGTAGAAGCATGATAATCAACACTATGCTTTTTCCTCCCTGGCGATTTTGATTCACCAAAAGTTAACCCAGCTGGGCAATTTTCGGTTAATTTTCGGTTTCTTTAAAAAAGACTTGATAAATCGACTAAATATGAAGGGAAAAATGCATTTTGAGGGGTAAATGGATGATTATAGAGTTGATTCTTATCAAAATTACAATATATAATGTAATAAATAATTATTTATTACAGATAAAATTTGGCCTATGAATTCTCATCTAATATTCAGTGGACTTTTTTCAAATTTTATTTTAATCATTATAATCTAAACAAAAAATGGGTTTATATTCATAAAGAAATGCAAAGTATATCAATTTTAATTATTATTAGTACTAATTAATTAAAAATCTTTAATATTAACTCTTAAACTAAACTCAAATCAAGTTATTCTAATTTTTTCATTACCGTATGCGGTCGGTAAGGGAGTTTCTTTCAACTTTTCAGGCAATATTAAAATTCAACAAAATATTAATTATTTTTAACTATATTTATAGTACTAATAATAATTAAAATTGATGTACTTTGTATTTATTTATAAATATAAACCTATTTGTTGTTCAGATTATATTGATTAAGGATATTCAACGGTGTCTGAAATTTTTTGTCATTTAATTATCGCCCTATAAAAACGGCACTGAACGTGAAAATAATAAACATTGATTTTAAAACACTATTTTCTCGAATTCTGAACACTTTTTATAAAATCGGACAACGTAGCAAGATTTCTTATCTTATTTTCCAAAATCCGAAAGATTTTTCAAATCCATGCAAAAACGCGATCGTAAAATTGGAAATAGGAAAGTAATAATAATGACAGCTGCGACTTTGTGCTCCCTGCATGCTTCTGCCATCTAATGGCGGCAAGATGTAATAAAGCTAAAATTATATTACTTTCCTATTTCCAATTTTACGATCGCGTTTTTGCATGGATTTGAAAAATCTTTCGGATTTTGGAAAATAAGATAAGAAATCTTGCTACGTTGTCCGATTTTATAAAAAGTGTTCAGAATTCGAGAAAATAGTGTTTTAAAATCAATGTTTATTATTTTCACGTTCAGTGCCGTTTTTATAGGGCGATAATTAAATGACAAAAAATTTCAGACACCGTTGAATATCCTTAATCAATATAATCTGAACAACAAATAGGTTTATATTTATAAATAAATACAAAGTACATCAATTTTAATTATTATTAGTACTATAAATATAGTTAAAAATAATTAATATTTTGTTGAATTTTAATATTGCCTGAAAAGTTGAAAGAAACTCCCTTACCGACCGCATACGGTAATGAAAAAATTAGAATAACTTGATTTGAGTTTAGTTTAAAAGTTAATATTAAAGATTTTTAATTAATTAGTACTAATAATAATTAAAATTGATATACTTTGCATTTCTTTATGAATATAAACCCATTTTTTGTTTAGATTATAATGATTAAAATAAAATTTGAAAAAAGTCCACTGAATATTAGATGAGAATTCATAGGCCAAATTTTATCTGTAATAAATAATTATTTATTACATTATATATTGTAATTTTGATAAGAATCAACTCTATAATCATCCATTTACCCCTCAAAATGCATTTTTCCCTTCATATTTAGTCGATTTATCAAGTCTTTTTTAAAGAAACCAAAAGATAACCGAAAGTTAACCGAAAATTACTCAGCTGAGTTAACTTTCAGTAAATCAAAATCGGCAGGGCTGTCAAATTTATCATTTTCACAATTTAACAAAATTTCATATTTCCTGTTCGTAATCGGCATTTATGATGCCAACTCGAATCAATAAAGGTAAATTCAATCGATTCAGGTGAAAAGAATTCAAGGTAAGAAAAAAAATTCACTTCAACGTCCCATTTATTCGCGAAATCAAATTGAGCTTAAGTTACTGTCAATTCTTCGCTTACTCCCTATTCTTTTTTTACTGGGTTTGCAATTAAATATTGCGAAGTTTTCAAGTAAATCTTTAATAAATTTTTAGGAAAGTATCGGTGCTGTGTGGGCAAATTTCTATTAAAAGTATTACAAAGCTGTAATAATTGAGGTTACAAAAGTTTGGAACACAGAAGAGAAATGTAAAGACAGTAGTTGACGAAAGAATTGTTTCGTCTCTAATAGAGTAAATCACTAAAGAAATAATATTTTATATTTATTTTTGTCCTCTCGGTGATTCAGTGAATTTTTCCTGTTTCATTTACAGAGCAGAAGGCTCTGAGCTAAAAGTGCAGGTAATCACCATATTACAAGTTTATTTAGACAAATATTTAGAGTTATAAAATTGATAGAGAGTGTATCCTGAAGCAACCAGTTTCGAAAATAAAGGACGTCAGCATTCCATACTGCGACAAGGAATGTAAAGGTTATACTACAAATTTTTATAATGAGTTAGGAAGGATTTAGATCCTATTAAAAAAAATTGGGAATAAGCGGAATCGAATTGGCAGGGAGTTAAGCTCAATTCGGTTTCGCATCTAAACCGAATTGGGACGTTATGGTGAATACTTTTTTCTTACCTTGAATTCTTTTCACCTGAATCGTTTGATTTTACTTTTATTAATTCGAGTTAGCATCATAAATGAAGAAGTGATTGATCTTAAATGTAAAAGAAATGCCGATTACGTGCATGCATATTGTAATACACTGAAACGCCGTTTATTTGGACACTGGATTATTTGGAAAGCTGTGGCGCTAAAACGGGATAAGGAGAAAAGAGAAGGATTCGTGTTTTGAACGTTCTCGCGTATAGTACTCAAGCATTTTTTGGTGAGGTTACACATCACACTGAGCAGTTTAACCATATAACAAGGAGTCCAACTATTTTGTTGTTTTATATTGTGATTAAATTCAGCAATATCGAATTTTGTATTAGTATTGATATATCTTCTTTCTGAATTTTTATACCTACCCGTCATACTGTGGAAATTAAACCAGCAACCATACTTAAATTACAAAACTCAATTTTCATGGAACAAGAATAATTTATCTATACTGAACTAGACTTGAATACATCCCCAGTGGGCAAAAAACCATGTTCGTTCTAAAAACGTTTTAAGGACGTTTTTAGAACGTTTCATGTCCGCCAAATAATGTTCTGAAACATTTTAAGAACATGGATGTTCAAATAATGTTCCAGAACATTATTTGGCAGACATGAAACGTTCTTAAAACGTTTTTCGAACGAACATGGTTTTTTGCCCACTGGGTGTTCTCTCTGGAATTCTACAATTACTTATCTGTGGAAAATTTGAAATACAATCATACATTACTTGCAAAATTTGGCTTCTTCAAAATACGAGGTCACATTTTGTTATCAAGATTGTTTGGATCTCCAGGTATTGCCGTCCTTTATACTACATTTTAACCTCACTTTGCTACACACAATACCTCTCTTCCTCTCTATTTACGCTTGACTTTTGGATGTTTGTAAATAAAATAAAATTAACGTTTGTCATTAATCTTAATATTCAAACTAAATAAGTTAAATTAAAATTGTACTTTTTTAACTACGATCATATTTATTAAACGTAAACTGTCCAAACAGTATATATTTCTAAATAATAATTCTCTCTTATTAAAATAAAATAAAACTAAATACTTGAGGTCCGTAAATACAATTAGTGAATTTCACGCATTACTCTGTGTCACTATACTTTTCTACATCAAACTATATTTTATTTTTTAAAACACAACCTTTAACAGTTAAAATTGATTTTTCTCACTTACTTATAGAGGAAGAAAATTGTATTTTTTGTTTGCCGAATTAATTATGTATAACTGTATTTTTACAATATAAGTTTTAAATAATTCTATTTATTAAGCCTGCTTGGCATTTGAGGCCGTTTCCGGGATTGATATTTGCCGGCGTTTCTGTTTCTCTTCTCATTTTTCAGGTTGCACTCATGTCTCCTATCCATCCACGCAAGCTACCTTTGCGTTCATCTCCTAGCACACACCGTCCACATAGCATGAGTAAGGTTCGTTCTACTGGAAGATCCATGAATATAAATAAGAGTTCAATGGATACATCTTACCTCAAAC